TTTTTTAGGCTCCATGCTCCTACGTCTCTTGGAGAAATATCAATAACAATGACTAATATCTGCTTTCAAATTCTTTTAGTATAGAGTTGTTGTTACAATGGCTTATTCAAAAAAGGTCAAAAACAGTTGACATGCTGCCGATCCATGCTGCTTTGGAAAACGTATATTTTCAAATTACAATACATGACATTTTGATTGGTTTTTGCGTAGTCCAAGAAAAATCATTTAACTGTGAATTGCTGTGAAACAACATGGCAGTGGTGTACACTTCAGGAACTATTTGACATACTTTATATTCTTCTATTTCTTTAGATAACATTACATAGAAAGAAAGACCGCTTTTATTTTTTTTAGAAAGGACTTATTCCCATAACTTGTTATACGTAAGTCATGTATCTGTAGCAGGTGAAGGTTTATGCAGAAAATGTCCATGAATTTCAAAAACTACATTATAAATTTCTTTGGCAGTTCTGTAATTATGCTCTCATTTGCTCAGTCTCACCAGTCTCTATTACACATAATTGATCATTATGAGGTGAATTATGTTACAAATTGAAGGTAATAATCATTTATCAGTTAGCCAACAACCATCTAACTGTGGGCGACTGATTCATTTACAGGAGATATTAGTGGCCAGCACTTAAAAGCTCTGTTTCCTCCAAGCACTAACTGTGTGATTGAACACTGCACAGATTAACCACAGCATTAAAATCCCTGACAGGTGAAGTGTGTAACACTGATTAACTTATTTCAATGCAATGTTATGTTAGATACTTGGCTTCTGGCACTAGCACAGTGGACGCTACTTACCTACCACCCACCTAAATATTGTTGCTTGCCAAGAGCTCTACTTCAAGGCAAAACCACTGCCTGATGGCCAGACACTGCACCTCACAGCGCTAAATCGAAAACTGCTGAAGGATCATGATAGAGAGCCCAAGAAGTCCAAAATCCCCAGATTCTAATCGAAACAAGCTCCTACAGCGTGCACCTCAGGATGAGGAGAGACCTACACAGTATTAGGCAGGTGATTTTTAATGTCGGGGGTGTATTGTTTAAATATGAAGACATGACACCTCCTCTTGCAGTAATATTAGCCAGATTTAACTTTTATTAACTTAAGAGCATTTGTACACCGTATGGATCATTAGATGACCAAAAACAAAAAAAAGGTTTTAGGCCGTCAAGTGTCACCGGAAGCTCTTCAGTACACTCTGCCATTGAGTCTTTGAGTCTTCTATCCTACGTTTCATCAGATAAAGACCCCAGTGACTTTTCTCTCTGACGGGAAAAGTAGACCAAAACCATTCCACCAGAAAAATGCCCTCCTTTGCATTATAACACATCCCCTTGCTGTAATAGTTTTTCCTTTAATTTGTCTGACTTTTTTTTTCTAATAGTTTTGAGAAAAAAGTCATGACCCCAATATATATATATATATATATATATTCAGTGACACTAATCTTCTTCACCTTGTAGTATTTAGTTTTATCTGAATGTATTAAGAAAATTAATTCACTTGGGTGAATTTTCCCCTATTATTCATTTTGGCATTATGCCTTAAAGATTGCTCGGATATTTTTAATGACTTTCTAATGATGGGAATTTTAAAAAACTGTTTACTCATTAACACCTGCAGGATCGCCTCTGGCTTGCTTTGTTCAACACGACCAAAGATATGTCGCGTCTAGATATGCCGTGATAACACACCGCTGTGTTGCTGAGCAGTAAGAGTCACAGTTTCTAATATCAGCAGCTCTGGAGTTTTACTTAAAAAGAAAGAACTCAAACTGGACCTTGTTTGGTAAAATGAACAAATTTGCTAAACATGGTGAAGGACTTGAAACAAAGGGATAGCACGTTTGCTTTCTATTTATACTCCAGGTGAAGACTTACCTAATTGCTACAGCTGAGTGATTTGATTCTAGAAATGGAGCTGAGCTGATAAATAAATAGATGTAATAGTAGGGTACATCAGAATGTGGAGTTGAGGCTATTTTATACCCTGCCAATCTCTCACTTCATCAGCCTCCCCCACTGCACTCATTAATAATGTACCTGGAATGAAAGTTAATGTATGTGATGAAAAATGTATTAAGCTCGTGAAAACTGAACTGACCTTTCAGTTGTTGATGTGTCTGATGCACTTTACTCGAAAACCTGCTGTTGCGGTTGCTTTGCAGCTCTTCACACAAAGCCACTAATCTCATTTATTTCTGAACTTTTCATTTCTAAAATGAGAGAGCCTGCAGCTGTAGATACAGATCGATACAAATACTTGACTTTATGCGTTTAGTTATTGAAATTCTTTCACGGGTATCGACGTACCCACATTAGATGTTTATGCAACACAGGCTGTATCCGCTAATCAGAAATACTGTTTTGTAAGTGTGTTTTTAATTCCTACCGTCATAACAATTTCTAATTACACCGGTAGCCATGCCAAGCCAGGCTGTTATTATGCTCAGGAGGGTAATTATTTCCATTGCCCTGTATTATTGACACAAACTTTTCTCTTGATTAAAAAGGAAAAAGTAATCAGTCATTATATGTACCTTAGTGTTGAGGGGGCGGTAAGGCGATCTGCACTGGAAGTAGCAGAGAGGGTATGATGGTGGGCAGCACCATGTGATATGGACGGCTTAGTAATAGGCCTCATTAAATGCCCAAAGCCCAAGAAATGTGGCACTCTGTTTCCCATTAGGAAGAAAGCACCACAATAAAAAAACATAATAACGATGAAGGATAATTGTCAGCGAAACACAGGGTATATATTTCAAATGTTATTATTAGCAATCCATAAAAATGTCTTGCATAAGGCCATATTAGATCATGCAGAATGTGCTGCGGTTGGAGAGTATCTGTAAAGAGAGGTAGACTTTAACCTCAGCATTCAAGGTACTAAAATATTAAAAATGCTGCCAAGCAAAACTAAACTGAACCAAAGCCAGATCTGCTAAAGCCAGAATGTGTTTATCATTCAAAGGACATAAAAACAAAATCACTGCTAGAAATAAAAATAAAACATTAAATGCATTTAAATTTT